CTCTTGAATCTGGAAACACATTAGAAAAAGCAGCAGTTAAAAATCAGCCTGATAAATGCTGTTTGTAGATGTATATTATAGACACGGCACAGCGAATACGGAGAAGAAGCAATTTGAGATTGATGTTGTGGAGGCCAGCCCACCTCCCCCATCAGTTGTCCTTGATGTCACTGTCAGAAGCAATATCTGGAGTTTGTATAATAGAGGATCAAGGCTATTTCTATGATTCTTTTACCTTTAAGAAAATGGAGGTCATAATTTCTAATTAATGCCAATTTCAGATATTCAGTAACTAATAAGGACTTCAGTTATTATTCTCCTGCTTAGGTTTGGTATTGCTTTGCATTTTCTCTTTGTGTAGATTGTGTCAGTTACAAGGTCAGTTCTCAGTTTGGGAGTTAAATTTTGTTGCTTATCTTAACTATTAAATCAATTATTTTGCTTTCTTTTTGTGGGAAATAAAATTTCTTATCCAGAGCCTTATCAAGACATAGCTCTGTAGTGTCAGCTTTTTTTGTGTACTTGTTTGCAGATAAATCCACAAACTTAACATGACTGGGGAATCTGGCATAATTATTTGTGGATTTCTTAAATGCTGAAAGATACTTCATTTGTCCAAAAATGATAGATTAGATGGTCTCTTACAGTGTATATGTCAGGAGTTTTCTGACACTATACTTAAAAATTATAGCATCTTCCATTATTTATAAATGAATGTGGACACTGTGTACTACTCACAGAAATGAGGAATGAGCTGACAGGCAGTTTTCTGAAGGATCAAGAGGCAATGTTTTGTCCTGAGAGAGTGACTTCGTGCAATGAGATGGCCTGTACTTTGTCTCCATGTATCACTATATTAAAGAAGACTACCCACTATGACGTGAATAACAAAAATGCTGGCCTGGCACGGTGGCTCACGCCTGTAATCCTAGCACTCTTGGAGGCCGAGGTAGGAGGATCGCTTGAGGTCAGGAGTTCGAGACCAGCCTGAGCAAGAGTGAGACCCCGTCTCTACTAAAAATAGAAAGAAATTAGCCAGACAACTAAAAATATATAGAAAAAAAAATTAGCTGGGCACAGTGGCGCATGCCTGTAGTCCCAGCTAGTGGGGAGGCTGAGGCAGGAGGATTGCTTGAGCCCAGGAGTTTGAGGTTGCTGTGAGCTAGGCTGACGCCACAGCACTCTAGCCTGGGCAACAGAGGGAGACTCTGTCTCAAAAAAAAAAAAAAAAAATGCTGCTAGAAATGGTCAAAGTGTATGTTAATAACATCCATTTGTAGAACATGTAACATTTTCAGGGCACTTCTGAACACATTGTCATTTTATCCTTCCAACAGTCTTGTGAGGTAAGGATCACATCCATTTACAGACAAGAGAGATAGGGGTACGCAAAGTACCCAAAGGAATTCTAATGTCTTGTCCTTTTCTTAACAAATGGCGACACTTCAACTCTTCATTGACAGTTTCATTGAAGTGTTTTATTTCCAAAGAAACTTGACTCTTTGTTTATTAAATATGCTGGAAACCATGAAATTTTCACCTGTCTGGCATGCAACAGTTGGAGATAATTAAGAGAAAATACTGGGAATCTCATGAAGGGAAGTGGATGTTGAGCTGTGCATTGGATCTCTTTCTCTAGGGAATGAATTGTGGATTGAAAAGCAGATGGCATCTTCCCTGCTATAAGAAGGGAGTTTGGTGTACAGGAGAATAATGGGGAGAAGGGAATGATTTGGAACTGTTCATTTTTCTGTAGAGACTTGGGTCATATGGGCATTACGGATGACTGCCACCACATTAGTGTTATCAGTAGCCAAAAGGTTTGTTCACTCATTCAAATATACTGAGTCCCAGATGTATACCAGTCCTGAGCTGCGTACCAGGAACACACTCTGGGAAACAACGCAGACACAGTCCTTGCCCTCGGAAAGCTTGTAATCTAGTGGTGAAGGACAGTGTACAAGTGAACACTTAAATGAAGATATAATTAATGAAGATATATAATAATGAAGATATATAATTACAATTACAGAAAGTGCTTTGAAGGATAGACTCTTTTGTTTTCTACCTTTTCTGGAACTTTTAAAGTTAAAAAAAAGGATGGCTGATTTCAATGTCTATAAGAACTGTTAGTAAGTATATGCAACACATTCTTCCAGATTGGGGATTTCTGCCTCTTGCTATCTGCTTCCCTCTCCCCCCAGCCCCAGTGCTCTTGATGCCTTTCAACCGGAGCAAGAGGTATTGGAGAACACCCCATCTCTACAAAAAATACAAAAATTAGCCAGGCATGGTGGGATGCACCTGTAGTCCCTGCTACTCAGAAGGCTGAGGCAGGAGGATCACTTGAGCTCAGGAGTTCAAGGCTGCAGGAAGCTATGATCACACCACTGCACTCCAGCCTAGGCAACAGAGTAAAAAAATAAACAATTTTTTAAAAGCCTGGAGAAATAAAGTTTTTGAGGGAAGGTTCAAGAAATGACAACACTTTGAAGCCCAAAGCTGTGGTGCTCCTTCATTAACATGTCTCCAGTGTGTGTAGAGTGTGTCAGATTGTGGCTGTGAGCAAGATGGCTTTGGGATTTGTCCTAGTTTGTCATTTAGCATCTGTGTGACTCAATCAGCTTCACTACACCTCAAGAGTAGTACCTTGTCTACACTTACTCTGCAGAATTTTTGTGAGAATTATAGGAGACAGTGTGTATAAAATGCACGATGTCATGGCATATAGTGAGCATTCAATAAAAGTTAGCTGATATTTCTACTACTACTGTTACTATTATTTTGTGAAATACATACGACATGCTTCCTTTCAGAGCAAGGGTACTGCAGTTGGTGGTGACAGCGGGGTTTTACTAATGGGCCTGTGACTCACGAGGGCCAAGCGCCAGTGTGGGCCCAGGGCTTTCATCGTAACCAATGCCAGGCCACGCTTAGAGCAAGGAGGATTCAGATGGTCCTATGAGTTCTGCTGATGTTGCATGTAAGACTGGATAATCAAGGAGGCTGTGGAAGTTCCATGTCAAGGAAGGTTGCTTAGTTTTTAATAACATTTGTTAGGATTTATTTTAGTACAGAAAAGAATAAAGGAAAAAACAAAAATGCTCATCATCCCACCACCCAGCTAATGCAGGAGTCTGTGCACATGGCTAGAAAACACACATAACGCACAAGGCAGGCGCCTTTGCCAGGCCGCACTGCCATCCCTCTGCGCAGTCCCTCTCCCCCTCGGCGTAGCTGTCAACGTGTGTACACTAACATCTCCATGAGCTCCTGGGCTTCTAGGATAATTTGTCCTGTTGTCCTGGGGATGCGGTTTCTGGCCTGAGGATGCCTTCCCAGTGACTCAGTCTGAGTGCTGGGAAGGTTCACTTTGGTTCTGCCGAAGCTTTCCCTGGATTGTCCTCTGTCCTCTTTCCCCGTTGCTCCTACATTATTTTCGTGGTTCTTGTTCCACTCTTCTGGCTTTAGCCCTTCCTCCTGGGTTCTAGAGATATGTCCACAGGTTGACAGCTGATGCTCAGGGAAGCTGGATTGTTATGATAGGGCCAAACGCGAAATCAGAGTTAAATATAAATTCTTTGAAAATAATTTTTTTTCTCTCAAAGGGAAAAAAAAAGTCAGTGATTTGAGATACACTCTAAGATATTTTAGTTTTTATGATTTGAATTTATTAGAAGTTTGTGGTACCTCAACCTTTACAGCAAACTACAAATAAGAGTAACTGCTGTTTATTATACACTTCCTGCTGTGAGATGTGATCTCATCCAAACCTGTGCAGGGAGGTAGGCAGTGACCACTCCAATTTATAGGTGACGACACTAAGGCTCGAGAGGTTAAGGCCACACAGCTGATAAGTGGCAGAGCCAAGGTTTGAATCCACTTCTGTCTGACCCCCAAACTGAGAACTCCTAATAGGGGAAAATTTCAGTTGTAGAAATTTTTAAAAATATATTAATGTGGCCGGGCACAGTGGCTCACACCTGTAATCCTAGCACTCTG